CAGAGCGCCTGGGTGGCTCAGTCGGTTGAGCATCTGACTTTGGCTCAGGTCATGATCTCACAGTTCATGAGGTCAAGTCCTGCATTGGGCTCTGTGCTGACAGCTCAGAGCCTGGAGCCTGCTTCGGATTCTGTCACCCTCTCTCTCTCTGTCCCTCCCCCACTCACACTCTGTCTCCCTCTCTCAAAAACAAAGTAATAAACATTAAAAATTAAAAAAAGGTGCTGAGTGCATGGTAAAGGGAAGAGGGGATCCCCACCAGTCAGGGACCCCCTCCGGCTATCCAGCTGCCACAGGCAGTGCGTCCACTTACATCCAGGTCCATCTCTGGGTATTTCCGGCCTTTGCTTTTGCCCAGACACTTGGTTTTTCCTCCTTCGAGCAGCTGGCACCAAAATCCTTTCTTTGGATCAAACCTGTGGAGTTGGGGAAAGCCTATGGATGGGAGCTGGCCCAGCCCATCCCCCTCCCACCTTAAGGCAACGTTCACAGACCCCAGGAAGGGCAAAAGCCTAGACTATGAAGCCCACTACCCCAAGCACACTCTGGAACCCACAGAGAGATGTGTGGGGCTGGTGTTTGCATCCTCTGGCCCGAGTTTTGCCCTTGGGCTACACTCAACGCCCCTGCCCCTTCTTCCTAGCAGAAGGCAGCTCGCATGTTCTGAGCCTTCTCTTGTCCTGGTGGAGCAGCGTGAGTCCGTCCCTTCAGCGACCCATAACAGAATCCCAGAGGATCCTGGGAAATCTTTTCTGAGCATTCTCCTACTCAGGGCTGAGCAACTTCTTTCACCCAAGAACCCAACAGGGAAAAAAAAGCTTCGTGGGGGATTTTTGTTGTACTTAAGCATGCTCATCACTGAGAAGTTCTGGCTTTTGGACTAAATTTCAGAAATGGCAAAGCAAGACTGCCTTCAGGATTCGAAGTCATGCTGGGCCTTCGAAGGCTTTTGTGGGGGAGAGATGAGATCTGAAGCTGTCAAGGGGAGGGGAGGAGGCATGCTGGCATCGGAATTCAACCCCAGATCAGGAACCATTAGGAGCTTCTTGGGCATGAGAAGAGCCAGGAAACAGAATTCACATTTGGTGAGGGAGACAGGGATTTCTGGATGGGTCACAGGGTAGGCATAAAGGAGGAAGACGATGATGGAGAGGATTTCTGAGCATCAGTACGTGCCAGGCACTGAGCTATGAGTTCCACACACGTGCTTCGTTCCATACAGTGACCCTTGGGTGGCAGGAATTATCACCTTTGTCTCCAATTTACAGATGAGGAGAGTGAGGTTTGAAGGAGCGAAGACACTTGCCCGAGGTCATACAGCTAAAGAAGCAACAGGTCTGGGATCCTAACCCAGGCATCTCTGATGCCACAGCCCTCCCTTAGCTGCTGTTCCTGTCTGCCTTAAGGTGACCTTCTTTACCTTCAACTTCCAAGAGAGTGAGAAGGAACATTCTTACCACATGACCTTCCCAAAAAGGTAGCCAGGGAAGGTGACTTTATTCCTCCCTCTCTTGAGACCCCCCCCCCCACCTCCATCCAGCCGCATGAGTCATTGGGACATAGCACTAGGAGACACGACTCCCTAGCCCTGAGCTCCTGCAACACAGGCTGGCACCTACTCAATCTGGGGAGGGCATTCTCAGTGCACTTGTGCCAGGTTCTGAGTGAGTGGGATTATGAGCCTTCACCAATACTCATAGTTTCCTTTTCCTGAAATTATAACTAAGTCAAAATCTAATGCTAAGAAACCCTTATGGGGAACTGGGGCTGTTTAATGGTAGTCTAACTTACTTCAGTAAAAGATTCTGAAAATGTTCAGCACAGACTGAAAAGAAAACCCCAGGGTTGGGACTGACCAGAGTAGAACATATTCATCACCTCCTTTTTTTTTTTGAGTTGATACCTTTATTAATATGACCCAAGTCATATTAATATTAGCTTTTCTGCTAGACAGCTATCAGGGATATGCATGCTTCCTAACACTTGCTAACTCTAACTAATCTGTGTCTCTTCCATAATCATTCAAGCCTTTGGCTTTTTGGTCCAGGTGTCTGCTCAGAAAGTCACCCTATCGAAAAGCCAAGGCAACACTCACGCCAAGGTTTTGTGGTAGTCAATAGTGTTGGTCACCCCAAGGAACTTTTGCACTGTGTCCATCACTTTGGCGGGTTCTGTTCGCAACAGTTTGCCATCCAAGACCAGAATCTGGAAGAAAGAGAAAAAAGAGAAGGATGATATGGGTGTGTGTTTACTCTAGTGGCAAATAGGTTCCCCATCTTCTGGTCAGCAGCCACAGTCACAAATTGGGGACTCTGCACTCTATAGCCTCTACCTTATCTTCCACTTCTGAATGGCAGGTGTCCCCACGCCTCAGTCTTCTACAGTCCAGCTCTCTGCCAGCTTCCCTGGACCAATGTCATCTTCTCCTAGAGATGAAGCTATCACCCAAGCACGGCTTGCCCCTCACAACCCTACCACGCACCTCTCTGCCTCTCTCATTCTCTTGTATAAACCCTCCAAGGGTTTCCCTAAAATGCCTGTGATCTGACCCTGCCTACCTTTCCGACCAGGTTCTCACTACGTCACCATATCCTTCCCCTCCTCCGAGGAGGGCTACCTACCCCAGGGCTTTCAGAGTCCCCTCAGGGACATAGAGCCCATTGTAATGTGACAAGGGCTCAGGGGATTCTCACACATCAGCCTTGGGATAAACAAAAATGAAACCTTGGAAGACCCCGAAGGTCTAGCTCGCCAATGAGGGCATATCTGGCCCTGAGACTGACACGAGATTTGAGGCTCTCTGCCAGCTGCTACAAGCCAGTACTGTGAGTGCCCTCCCAAGGGTCAGGGACAGGCAGCTACCTGGTTGGCGTGAAAGGCGCTGAGCCAGCGCTCAATGTGGGTGGCGTACCAGCCGGGGACCAGGCAGCGGTTCTGGAGGGCACGCAGCTTCACGGACGCGTCAGGCCCAGCCGTGATCACCTCGTGAAAGGTGTACTTCAGGGCCACTGGGTCGTCATGGGCTCGCTGGTGCTGTGTGCAAGGGGAGAGGGTCAGAATGTCACATGAAGGCCACAAAGGAAGAGGCTTTCTTGGGGCGGCAGCCGTGGAGTGGCCAGAACACTCTGGACTAGAACCAGCAGCCATGGGTTCAAGTTCTGGCTCTGCCTCTCACTGCTCTTTGACTTGGGGAAGACATGGCCCTTGGAGCCCTAGCTTTCCCATCTTTGCAAGACGGGAGTTGGACTAGATCAGAGTTTCCAAATGTTGGTCTTCTGCTCACCACCTCTCGGATTTCTGCCATATCCACAAACCGCCTGCGTGTGCCAATGTCAATATACTTTTGATTTACATCGACTCATCTTTCTTATTCACATAAATCTATTTCAATATAAAACTCTCTACTGCCTCCATAAATAGACAACCAGAATCAGTTGTCACATAAAGAAGGTAATCATTCATAAAAGCAATAAAAATAAAGCAGCGTTCTCAAATGCCAGCCAGATACAAATGTCTGCTACAGGCCCTGAGCCCGAAGCTTGTGCTCTCTTTGTTGAAAACAGAGCTTAGCAGTGTGAGAAAGGACTGAAGAGACATTTACCCCAAACTGAGAGTGTCCCCTTTATAGAAATCAGACGGTTTTAGGAACTGAATATGTGTGTCCCCTCCCCCGAATTCATATGTTGAAGCTCTACCCCGTAAATGTTAGTATTTGGAGGTGGGAACTTTGGGAGGTAATTAGGGTTAGATGAGGTCATGAGAGTGGGGCCACCATGATGGGATTAGTGCCCTTATAAGAAGTCACACCAAAGAGCACTCCCTCCGTCCTTCTCTCTCTCTCTCTCTCTCTCTCTCTCTCT